ATAAATCAGATACACAAATTTAAATATCAATGGTTTCTCCTATATGAGAAACCCAGAGAGCAAATAAATAAAAGTTAGAGAATAGGAAATAGGGAGATAGATCTTTTGCCAATGGAAAAGGGAGAAGTGGGAGGGAACATAAAAAGAATTAAGATTCATCATGTCCTTGTACCAACTACTCATAATGCGTGTATTCATTATGTACCACAAAGATGTACTAATAAATAATAATTTGGATGAAGGATAAATTTTCACCTATGTGAAAGTTTCAGTATCCCCTGAAGATTCTGCATTGTAGGTTTCATTAATATAATGAGGGTAATTAATAGAAAAAAGATTGTTTTTCTCAGCTATCCATCCACTCTATCCACACTACTCACCTCTGCCATCTCCCCAAGATAAGGGTTCAAACTAGAATTTAAGGAAGTATCATTTAATATTTTTAATTATTATTGCTTTAATTGTATTCTACCATAGTATTTTATTTATTTGGATATTTCAAAAGCTCTTTTTATGTGAAGGAGGTTTTTATGTAGGTTGCTGAGGCTGCTTCCGCAAAGCTGTCAGCCTCAGCTTATTCTAGTTCGATCCCCACAACCCTCCAGCCAGCCAAAAGTGCCCTGAAGGCATTCGAGGAGAAAAAAAAAAAAAATCCTTATTCCGTTTCTGTAGGTTGCTGAGTATAATTTTAAAAAGATAAATTAATCTTGAGCAATAGGCAGATATGTAGTATCACGTTGTCTTCTGATAATAAGAAAAATTATTATAAATATCCAGCAAAAATAATATAGACAGGGCTGGGGAGATATCTTGGTGGCATAAGCACCTGCCTGGTAAGCACAAGGTCCTGAGTTCAATCCCTGGTATCACATGCTATGCCAATGAGCCAGCCCCAGAAGTGGGCATAGTAATGCACACCTGTAATCCCAGTGCTGGGGAGGCTGAGACAAGGAGGCGCACTAAGAGTCTGAGCTGCATAGCAAGACTCTGTATCAAATAAATAAATAAATGTAATATAGACATCACTAACTAGAAGCAGAAGGCAAGAGGAACCAGGTGTGCTATTGCAAGTCTGTAATCCCGGCAGCCTGGGAGGCTGGAGCTGCAGAATTTCAAGTTTGAGCCCAGCCTGGACTACCTAGGACCTTGTCTCAGCATAGAAGATAAAAAGGGCTGGGAATGTATCCCAGTGCAAAAGCCTTAGGCTTAATTTTCAGTACCAAAAAAATGAGGATGCAGAAACTCAAAGAGCAGAATTTAGAGTATTCTTCTGTGGCACTGTCAAGAAGAAAAAGCATGAGCTACAGAAAACCAGGAAGTTTAGTGACTCATAAATTTAAACAAATTTATTCAAATGTCCCTAAAATACTTCAGAGTAGAAAATTTTAAAGGCGAATCAACAGAAAAGTACTTTGTATGTGTGATCTCCCTGGATAGCCACAAATAAGAAAACTAGAGCATATGATATACTTGTTAGGTTACTTAGCAGTAGCTAACAGGTTACCTCTTTTTTTTCCCCTCTAGCCTGCCAACAACATTTGCAACTTTGGATATTGATGGAGTAAGAAAAATTATTTTTGCACTACCAGGTAAGAATCATAGAAATTTTCTGCTTTTTATGGAAAAATGACCAGAATCTGGACTTCTGAACTTCTCACATGACCAGTCCCTGATTATATCATTGGCTATGCGATCTGAAACTCAAGATTCAAGACTCAAGATTCAGCTTTATTAACAAATCACTCACCTTTTCTGGGGCTATTTCTTCACCTATTAAATGGAATTAGTGCCTACTTCATAGGAAGGTATGAAAATCAAACTAGATACTCCCTGCCAAAACACATTCCAAAACCTAAGATGATAATCAAATGTTGGC